GGTGCACGAAGGTGTGGTAGAGTGAAGAACGAATCCCAAACACTCCAGGTATGGTATATTCACTCATTCACATGGTACTATATGACTATAGACTATATGTATGGTATATATATATATTTACCTATAGATTGGGGTGGTTGAAAAGGGGTCAATGGGGTGGCATATGTGACAGACATCGGTCGTGTCTGGGAATGGTTTCACGATGGCCTTTCTTTCCCGGGAAGGTTCGGTGGTTTGGATCTGGGTTTCACCACTTCATTCGTCCGACAGGGTCGTCACCCTCGTCTCCCAGTCCCATCCAACTCTGGATGTGGAACATCTTTCACCCTACTTGGGCGTCCTGGCACGTCCTGATGCTTCGATGGATTCATTGAATTCTTTCAGTCAGCCTGTCTTAATTGCTAAGATTTTAGACCAAATACAACACCAGGTACCATCCTTGATTTTGTTGTCTTTGAAAGCTAGGGATACTACAGGAAGCGCCTGTCAGGCTGTCAGGAACAGCCTCCCCCGTGCGCGAGTGCCTGAGGCAATTCATCAAGCCCACCACACAGGCAGCCGGTGACGTTTCCTGGTCCCTGATGAAGTACCTGGGCCATTGGCCCGCGACATGTGATGCGTGTGACGTTTGCTGAGAAACCCAATGGCCTCGTTTGAGAAGGACCCCAACTCATGACAAATCGTGGTTTCTCACCACCTAGACCCTAGTTGCTGTAGGTGATGTTCTACAGCTTTTGCATGCTTTTGCTGCCAAGTTGGTCAGCCACAACACTATATATGTATAGAACCTCAGAACCAGTTCACAATGTCATCTAGATGTTCCAACAAATGGAGGCCTTGGAGCGCTTTCTTCCAAAGGCCTGTTGTTGGATATGCTTTGCCTCCGGGACATGGCATTAATGTCCATGTTGCTCCAGCCATTGGGGGATTCGATTGGCCTCTGGGGACACGTGTGCATATATGACCTTTCAAGCCCGTCTCTTTATTGAGATCCCTTCTGTGTATGGAACATATTCTTGCCCATCTGCTACCCAACGAGGCATCCCGACGGCGTGGAATGTGACCTTTTCATCACACATGGCTGGGCCGAGGGTGTTTCTTGGCGTTCGACGGGTGGAGACTGGGCACCGTGTGGATAGAGACTGGGAGCGGATGCCCTTGTTCGAAGGGTTACTTTTGGCTTCTGCATTTGTTGGGCCTCAGTGCCAAAGCGGAAGACGTCCTACAGTCGTGAGCCTCAGTGTCCTCAGCTGAGTGTCCAGACCAAGCCGAAGGAAAAGGGCCCTCCCCTAATGCATTCAGGTGTTTCGTTGCTGCATGAGGGCCATGCCATGCACTGGGGTGTTCCTGGAGCTGGGGCCTCAGCTAATTCATCCCGTCGGGATCAGCGAAGGGTTCGTCGAACCATTCCTGCTGTTTGATCCCCGTTCTCCGTTACTTCTTGTTTTGGGTGACCAGCTGGTCCAAAGTACAGCCCAAAATATCAAAGAAAGCACCTTTTCTCCAGTGCCAGCACCTTACATCGTTGGCACAGGCACCTTTCGACCTCCGCTCCCTGGGTTTTGGGGGGGCTTCAGAAGTAAACCCTGTCGAAACCCTCCTTTCGCGGCAACAACAGTCCCTGACAGCGGATCAGGAGGTATTTGGATCACCTGCCCCTACCTTTGCTTGTATGGATCAGGCAGATCAGACACCCCATCCAAAAACCAGCACAGGCGGTGGCCGTTCGGATCACCGTTCGGACTTCCGGAGAAAAAGAAACCGGAGAGCTCGGGGAGTACAGGTCTTGTGGATGATCAGGTCTTTGAGTTCATCGACAAGGTCATCAGTAGTTGGCCCACTGGCGCGCGAGGCGAGATGCTTTGGACTCGCAGAGGGAGGATCGGAAAGGGGAGGTGGCAGGGACGTAGCTGCGGATGTTGCATGTTTTGATCCGTAAATCTATGTAAATCTTAGAATGATTTTGTTCTAGATTAGCTGACCTGTATACTTACACTTGAGCCAAGTCAGAAAACAACATCTCCTATATAATACACAGCAGTGGAGTGACTTTTGGTGTGGTGTATGAACAGGATTGAAGGAAGAGGTTAGTTCTCCCGGTCCTGCACAACAGCCCTTGAGCCGGTCAACATCGGTGATTTTTACAGCGGTTTCAGATCAGAAGCTCGGTTTCTTCCCTCCCAGCGCTTTGCGGATGCGAGTTCGAGGTGCCTACGTGTGCTTTCTGTCCAATCCGCAGACCCTCGGCCCGCATCGCCGTGACCCTGCGCGGGCGTTTGGGGAAGTCCAGGTTCTTCGAGCCTGGTAGACTTGGGCGTTTGGGCAAGTTGAGAAGTTCCCCAAGTCCGTCCTTGCCAGTGTTTGAATATATGGTTTTCCCGGTCAAAAACTGCATTTTTATTGGAGTTGGTCATACAAAAACGCTACTCAAGGAGGTTTTCAAAACCAGGTTTTACTGGGTCAGACTGGACTTGTAGGCAAATCTTTGTGATCGACCGGCACAGCGTTCCGAGGTACGGCATCCAAAAAAAGTCCGAAGGAAAGATCAGCAAGAAACATAACAAAGATTAACAGATATTTGGTCAAAGCAACCTTCATTTTGCTGAAATAATGTATTTGCCCCCCCCCCCACTGTAGACATAGCAACTTCTTTGCATCTCCTAAATAAGATTACCCAGAGGCCCAAACACAGCATTTGCACACACTTTGCACGAACGGACAGAAACAGCTTGACATTCATGATGTTGTGCAATCATTCAATGATATCTCAGACAAAAAGACTCGCAAGTGACACGTTCCTTATGTAGACCATATATACTTTGCCACCATCCATGGATCGCACAGAATCAACTTCTGGAGCATGTTGTGAACGGCAAAGAGTTGAGGTCGAGATGCAACACATTTTTTCTGGCAACCTCACCTCAGGGTCAATGTTGTGCGGGATGTAAGGAAATATTTAAGATACTTTTTTTCGTCAGGCTATGTCTATTGATTCTGGTACTGGCATACTGTCTAATTGAATTTTCTACACTTCTTGAATCTTCTTGACGGTGAGGGTGGTCCGTGACCGTGCTCGCTAGGAACCTGGACATCGGATCTTTGATTGCAAACCCACAGGATTCGCCCTTTGCCAAGAGCTTGGGCCAGTCCAAGCAGATGCTGGTGATCCCAAATTCCAAGGGTTCCATCTACACGCGCATTTGGCCGCTTGGAACACAAGGGGTTTTGGCCGACATCCTCGCATGGATTTTCCGTGGAACCCACTTGGGAGCATTTTCACGGGGTAAAGTTCCAACTCAGTCAAAAGTCCAAACAAACAAGAACCGTTTTGCCACTGGGCCCGGATAGGACCAGCCTTTGTCCGTGCCTGTAAGTTTTAATTTCGTGTGTGACCTCGTGAAACCGGCGATGGCCTGGCCTTGTTCCTCCGCGTTGGATTGCTCGTTGGAACATGTCAGAATGAGGATGATTGTCTGTCGAAGTGGGGGGTAGATGCTGGGAACCAGTGCTGTTTCCCCTCATGTTTAGGGGTATCATGCATTTAACATGTAGCAGTCATGTTTGAATCCCCTAGACGGACATTGCAAAGAGTGATGATTTGCACTTATAAGTTCACGCCGTCTTTCTCAACAAGCGACCGATGACCGAGAACACCGTGGACGTTAGCCCTAGGGATCCACATACTCTCTGAGAAGGTACGACTGGACCCTCCTGTCACCTACATCACACTGTCGAACACATCGCCGTACTTGAGAAGGTACGACTGGATCCTAGGGAAGGTTTGTGGGTACAACATGCATCGGAGGTGCACCACATCGGAGCCACAACATGCGACGGAGGACGGACGCCATTCCGAAGACATCTTGCCACAACAAGCAGGGGTTTGCCACCGGTGGTTTGAGGTGGCGTTGGCGGAACTAGGGTTGGCTCCTGTAGACCAGAGGGTAGGTTCACCTGAAACTGAAGATGTTGGTTGCCATACAAGGCATAAAGCTGGAGATTCCCTTCCAGACCTTCCAGTTACTTTGCAAAGCTCACGTGGGATCATCAGATTCAGACCACTCCAGACCGGTCCTTTGGGAGTGACTAACCCCCAGCCCAGCAGTTTCAGACTGCGCAGACCCGAAACATCCAGAGACATCATGTGTTCGGTCAAGATTGAGTGGCTTCGTGTGCTTGGTCAACCCATCCTCCAGATGTCAGCGGCGGACCCGCACACGATGCCGTCGGACCAAAGAGACGCCGTCGGACCGGTGAAAAGCACTCCCTCCCACCGCATGAAAACGGTTCAGGTGTCGAAAGGGGTTGTGTCTTTTTTACGTAAGCTGCTTTTGGTGAGAGCTGATGGGAGCTGAGTTTTTTTTTGCGTTTTGGGCCAAGTTTCAGCCACACATGTCATGTCACACAAAAAACGGACAAATTCATACACTATTGAAACATGCGTAGGGTGTCTTTTCTGGCTAAGCTGCTTGAACATCCGAAGATGTACTGAAGAACCATAGACCAACCAATCAGAAAGCAAAGGGTGTTGATGTCGGGAATCGCGTAGCCCCGCGGCGGAGCCTCTGGCTTGCTGCCAGGCAGCCCACGTATGGCCTCCAAACCAATTCTGCACAATGGCGCCAAATGCCATGCACTGCCCCAAACCATCCAGGTATGAATTCTTCTTTGCTGCTCACTGCTCAGCCAGATCGCAGATCGCAGATGGACTCCAGATGGACTCGGTGTTTGCCAAGTGCCAATCCTTTCCTGAGACTTAATTATCTTTGCTGGAAATGCGGTGCGTGTTCTGCCTGCGCATGGCGCGTGGTTTGATGCTAAAATTCCTTGGCATTAAGTGTTGCAGAAGCCCCTCCTGGCAAGAACTGCACGCGCAAGCTGCCATTGGTGGTAATGTAAGAAGATGCGTAAGACAAATATAAATTAATTACATCGGATCGGCAGATGCCACTGGTCTTGAGAGCCGCTCAGGTGTGTCTATGAAGCCTTCTTGGCTTATACATGGAACAAGCCCATCTACACTGCAAGGGCTCCAGTGCCGGCTTTTTGGTTGAAGCTCTCACGTATGATCTCGGCATCTGCCATCAGCAGCGGGCTCGCCGTGCTCATCGTCAGTACCTATCCTCCGTTCGCCAACGACGCAGTGCAACTGATGCTCGGACGGACGAGAGGAGGCCCAGGTGGAAGCGTTTTTCGGCGGCAGTGGGGTCGGGGTGCACATCGCTTTCTGTTTGCAACGTGGTCGTTCGAACTCGCGTCCTTTGGTCTAATTGTTGGTCACCCGGATCGACGTCTTTGGGACTCAAAAGTCGGAAGAAGAATGGTCGACGTTTTCCCTCCCAGGATGGGACGAGTTGCGACGATCCTGGGCTTGCTGGACTTAATCGTCATGACCATCCTCTTTAAGACCCATCGGCATCTCGCTGAGTTCAGACACTTTTCAACTTGTGAGTTTTGCGGTCAAGTTGCAAAATTGTTCGGCAAAAGATAAGACTGGTGAAAAACACAAATGTCGGTTGTGAGTCTCAGTCCTCCCGCTTTGGCTTGTAAACAGCCTTTAAGACCTAAATGTGAATCCCCTTGACAAAGGCAGCACAGGAAGTCAAGGGAACCGTGAAACGAGGAATGTTCGAAGGTCTAACGTCTGCAGGATTCTGTAGGCTTCCCAGTGAGGTACACAAGCAAATTGCTTCAAGCTTCAATCTACCTCTTCAGTTTGGCGTTTGCGGTGTACCGGGCCAGTGATGCATACCGGAAGACCTACAAGAGGCCGGTCCGATTTGAAGGAGGGACTGCCGTGAAAGAGTCGGTTTTGCTTTGACCCAGCCCATGATGCCAATGCACCTGAAGATGTGATAAGATTTGTAGGACATTTTTCTAAAGGTGGATTTGGGTGGTACGATTTGGTGGGTTTCGGTTTCGGCCAGTTCAGCTGGTGCCTCGTTGTCACCTGGGGGACTTGTTAAGGGGTGCAGGCGCAGATGAGTTCCAATCATTTGACGTCCTTGTTTTTGGACCTTGGTCCCTCGCTCGACCTTGTTGTGCAGGCAAGAACATTTTTTTGGGGGTTCTCTCTCAAGTACTCAACACACCCCAGGTACACTTGGTGTTGGCCTGGGCCTAATAAATAGGCCAGTTGGCTCCAAAAATAGCCATAACGGTGTCAACGGCATAACGGTTGTTGGTTTGTCATGTTGCAGGTCCTAAACGTGCGCTCCGCTGATCCAGTTTCTCATCACCGCAAGATCGTCGCGGCATTCCTTTTGGTGAGTAAGATTTGCCGGACATCGCATGGGCCGGACTCAGATGTTTTGTGCACGTGTTGAAAACGAGTGGCTGTGGTATTGAAGAGCTCCAGCTTGGCAAAGCAGATCATGTTTTGACGATGTTTGTTTTGTCCAAAGGCAAATCTGCGAGCGGTGTGTGTCCCAAAGCACCAGCACGGTGAAAGAAAGGCTTTACGGTCGTCTTGGCTGTCGCCATGTTCACGCACGAAGGGAGCCACAAACCGTTTGCTGCACAAACAAAACACAACGTTCTGCGTGCACACAGACAGATGAAACATAATGAAAGAATATGAAAGAGTGTACCCCATTGCTGGAGTTGTTTAGACGTTGATTTTTGTTTTGTCTCCTTGCAAGTACCTATGTTGTACTTGAAGATTGTGTGTTTGTTTCGCGTTGTAAAGGATACGATTCTCACCGGCATTGTGCCTCCGTAGTTTTTGTCATGGTCGTTTGCCATGGTCGTCCGGCACATTTTGAGTCCCGCATTATGTCATTCCATCAAGACGGGGTTCTGAACATGCTTGAACCCCGTCGGATGAAGAGTGTTGGATTGACAATCATGACTTGTTGGTCCACCATGCTTCAGCACCGATTCTGACCATCTCTGACCAGGTCCAACAACGTCCTTTTGTTCGTTTTGGCCTCCTTCATTTGCGCGGGGCTGGAAGCGGACCGGCTCTTGGCCGTGGAAGGCTTGCGCCAGTCCAAGCAGCTCAAGGAGGGCTTCCGTGGCATCGAACATGCGCAGAGCGCCAACCAAGCGGACCGAGTGCCTGGGAACGGCGTCCAGCAGAGGCGAACGACGTCCGACATGGGACATCTGGGATGTTTGTTGGACAGATCACAGATCTGTGGATTTCCACAGAATCTGCGCTCGTCCATGACTCGAATTCCCGATTTTTTCGCATGGGACTCAGTCCATTCGTGTTCCATTCTCGCTGCTTCGGGACATCCGACCGGTGTGATCACGAGGCGGAGGCCAGCATTGGTCGACCTACCAGCAGAGGTTGAAGAACCCTATTGAGACTATACTATATATAAATAGGTACCCCCCTGTAGGCTCCTGATACCAATCAGGCACCTTGTAAGTGACCTTATAATGCCCTAGAAGTTGCCCTAGATCTACCAACAGGCTCCTGGGTTGGCATCTAGTCAGGTCATGGCTGACCTTTGTTGGTAGATCCTGACGATCATTCGATCCGCCAAGGATCGCATCCTTTCGGAGATTGAAAGGGAGGGTCAGGAGACTGCTGTGAATGATGCAGTGGCCGTGCTGCTGGACATGAACCTCGGCAAAAACGACGTACAAGACGGGCTGCTGTACGTACCGTACCCCACGTGCTGCCCAAGTGTCCAAATCCATGTTGCCAGGAGCTCCAGATGGTACAGACATGAGTATAGTGATTCACTGGCCGAAGCGTTCCTCCGCTTTTCGCGGAACGGTCCTGCCATTCTTGCCAATCAGGTCTGCGCACCGACTTTCTTGCGAAGAATCAGATGGAATCACATAACTTGAATTGGAATTGAAGCCCCAAGCCTTAAGCCCCCGAGAAAACACCTTGAGAGACCGAGAACTGTTCAACCTATGGCTTGGTGCCGCACCCACCAGACCTTCGGCCTCCACACCGCGCCGTTTGGACGAGGAATCTCTCAGTACCGGAGCTTCGCAAGGTCATGACGAAAGCAGGGCTGCTTGGTGGAACTATGTGGAACTGTGCTCCGGAAGGGGCGAAATCAGAGATGTTGATGTGTTCGGTGCGGCATTTTGGGGGGAGCTAGAAACTTCTATATATATATATATACTCTCGACTAGTGACAAAGGAGTTGTAAAACGTATGGTGGGTTTTACAACTCCTTTGTCATGGGTCTTAAAGCATTTTTGAGCAATGTACACAACTCCTATGTCATGGACTTTAAAGTAGAGAAACACATCAACACATTGTCACACAAGAATAGCTTAAAAAAAACAGAAAGCTGCCGGAAAAGATGAATAAATGACGTGAGATAGGAGGTGTAAGTACCAGGAGGCATGATGAAACATGATGAGCAGGCCGATTCTTATGTCATTTGTTCTGTGTGCATCAATTCCCCTCCCTCCCTGAAAAATAAATAAAATGCTTGATCATCAGCTGGCGACAATTCCCAAGTCATGAGGCTTGAATCAGCAACTCTGCAATTTTTGTGTTCCCAATGACTTAGGAGTAGTGGGCCACAACTACTATGTCACTGGCCCACACAAGTCCTAAGTCACCGGTCGGTAGTATATATACTTTAGAAGTGCGTTTTCCAAGGGGGAGACTCTAGTTCTATCCAGATAGTGGAAAGACCGCAATCTACATTGCTTTGAAAATTCCCCGATGCAGGTGGTGTAGGATGTCTTGAACAGTTGGTTAATCAAGCCATTGAAGTACTGGTTGGATGATCTAGTGGGTGTTCTTGCTAGCAAGCAAGAAATTTATGGGTGAACTATGTAGATGTTTGGCTTGGAAGGCAGCATAAAGCATCACCCATATAAGCACACCCAGCACAAGAATCTATCACACAAAAAACGTTCAATCATGTTTCCCAAGATGTTGTTTTTCCTGATCATGTGTATATAAGCTCACGTGGAGCACTATTGAAAGCTATTGAAAGCATTTTTGAGTGCCGAATTGAATCTACAAAGTAGATCATACAACTTTCCATGTTCACTCTAGTGTCAACTTCTTGTTTCAGCCGGACATCTGCATACCTGCGTTTACTGCTGCCTGAGAGGCAGCAGCCGGAAAATCACAAACATCCAGCCACTCAACAGGGTGATCATGTTGCGTTGAGCCCGTGTAAGCAAAGATCTTGTCAGTACACCTATGTTCAGCTCCAAAGATGTTCCCACCTGAAGTACGACAATTTCAAGGTTTAAGCGGATGATGCCCCACCATTTGGAATGCCTGCTAGATCCGAGCCCAGGTCTTTAGGGGATATTTCCACTTGGAGTCGGTCGATGTTCGCGCTTAGCCTTTGCTGGTGGATTATCAATCCAAATCAGATTTGGCTTGGCCGTGTCCTTGAGGCCGGCCGGCACCAAGCCAAACGTGACACGTCCGAATCAACGATGACGCCGGCAACAAGTAGTCAGTCAAGTAGACCCAGCAAAAAGATGCCGAAACCGAGAACTCGTTGTGTGTTTGTTCCCCACAGGGGCAACACATAAGACAGCCCAGGCTGGAGTCTCGAAGGATGACAAAGTAGTTTCGCGCGATCAATTGATATATTATGATATGATATGTGTACTCTATATTGTAATTCATATGTACATTACATATATATATATATTTAATGTATTTAACATATTATTATTAGCTTATATATGGCTGGTTTAATATACTAAACATAAATGCTGTATCTTGAGATTGGACTAGCGAAAGTAGGTGCTTCTAACTAGCATGGCCCAAGCCTAGTTCGTTCAAACAGATCGATCCATTTGTCTATGCTCATCTACACTTCGCTCGCCGCGAAGCGCTTCATCGGCGGGCTCACCGCGCTGGAAACTCCCTCTCAATCCAGGTCTACAGCCATCAGGCCTCCGTGGCTGCTGCACCTTTGAGATACACCATGCCTCCCGGAGCGAGAAAGCGCGGAGGGTCTCCCTCTTCGGGTTCGGGATGATGCGCGGGTGCGGTGAAATCGTCCCCCCCCCCCAGGCAGTGTGGTCGGTGATTCTGGGAGGAAGAGGAAGAGTTCGCATACACTAAGGGCTGAATTGCACGGGGACCTATTGAACAGCTATGCGAGCTATCCCTTCTTACCTTTCTTTGTGCCTATCATCTTGGAGAACAAATCTCAGAGTGGTATGTATAGAGAGAGAGACCCCGTACAAAAACTGTGAAATGATGTAAATGCGTCTTTCAGATCCTTAAAACCATCGTATGACTGAACATCTATCTATTTATCTTGTCATTTTATAAATACAAAAACATATATAGATATATATCTATACAACAGATGCTTACAACATTAAAACAAAATATATATATAATATGCTGTAGCCTCGCAGTTGCCCCCAAAAGGAAGGATCCTGTTTGTTTCCACTCGTGTTGCTGTCGCACTTGGCGCTGACCTCCGCGAGCCGGGGCGCGGGGTGCAGACGCCGGCGTCGTGGGGCACCGGAGCGCGCTCTGCGCATAGGTTGAAAGGACATGCTGGAGCAGGTAGATGGAGTCCTTGCTTTGTTCATATTCTGTATATAGCTACTACAGGATGGTTGTATATACAACTATAGCCTCTACTGATCATTGATGCTCACAGTTTCATTGTGCTCTAGCCACAAGGGCAACTCCTTCAGCTACTGCGTCAAGGTTTTCCAACATGAAACAGCCAACCTTGGCTGTTGTTTGGGTCTTTGTCTGAACTTTTTGCAAGCCAATATTATAATTTTAGATGTGCCACCAATCAACAGCTGGGTGCCGCTTCAGGGTTTGACAACCGCCAAACCAGCGGCCAGGTTTGTCCTCGCCGCGCTGGAGACCATCACCTTCTTGGGGCTTTTCATTTGGATGCCCACGGAGCGGAAAGCCTTCGCGGAGAAGACGGAAGTTCTGATTTTGCCCTTCGTTTCTGGGACCTATAGCCTATAGTCGATGTGTTGTGTTTTATGTTTTTTAGGCAGATGTTCTCTCTGACTCTTTGCAGGCCTTTTTGTTGAGGGTTGTTGCTTCAACGGACCCATCCTTCTTATGCGAGGGAACCCTTCGGCTTTTTCAGGAGCCAGGTGATGTTTTTTCCAGAAAAACATCAACATAAATCTGACATGACTTGGGCCAGGTTCACTGACACTTAAGCTTACTTACTTCGCATCCATGGAACACGGCCGTTGGTTCAAGCACTTTCCTCTACGCCATGAGCGTTTTTTTCTGAGTGTGAAGAGGGAAGTTCAAACACTTTACTCCTTCATGGGGAAGTTCTACTGCACCTACCAAGAGAGCCCAATGGCGGACCATTGTGTTCGACAACAAAATATTGTGATATATGTTGTGCCATGCTAAGATATATAGATTACCATATTTTTTGGGATTATATACAAATATCATATAGACATATCGCTTCTTTGCCATGTGCTGTTTGCATTTGCTGTATACCAGGACCCTCCCTGCCAGGTTTGCGAAATGGTGGCTTTTTGCAGACTTAAGTCGGTATAAGTTGTATAAGTACATATAATGTGCCATGTTTGGTTTGCATTTGTTGGTTCAATCCAAACATGAGGTAAACTCATCCACAGTTTAGAACGCCCTCCCTTTCTTTTGTGGCAGAAGGCACATACCGTAGAAACATACGGCCAGCGTCGAATTTAACTCGATTCTAAGCATTTGTCCTTGGAAGTTTTGCACCACTTGATTGATGTCTTTCCATCATGTTCTATCTCCAAGGTCTTTTCTACATTTATCGGCCTATGGGAAGGCTTCACGTATGTTCCTCGGCTGCGCCCGGATCACATGGGTGGGGCACTGGAAGTGCCTCGGATCACATGTTGCAAGGTATGTAATGTAGCTTCAGGATCCTTGTTCAGAGCCTTGTTGGTAAGCGCAACCTATACTCAGGACCTGAGTCGATCTATAAGTTTTCTTGGACTGAGAAGGTGAAGGGGGGGGCTGCCAGGTCGGTCCCCCGCCGAAACGAAACGACCTCCACGGAGCATGTCCCTGAGGCCCAAACGGGTTTTGGAGTCGTGGTCCCTCAGTCCAGGTGGTTAAAACATGTTAAACCACGTGATGTTTGATACGACAGTATGTATATTCTAGTTTTCGTTTATAACTATCTGGTAATGTCAAGTTTGTGATTTCTACGTATCATATCATATCATATTATATATATATATATGTATAATATATATATATACAAAGCGAATGATAGAGAGTGAGAGAGCGAGAGAGTTGTGGTGGGGTCGGTCCCATGAGGAACTCACATACATCTTTGTGGTGAACCCCATCGTTCTGTTCTTATCCATCGCTGGGCCAGCGCGCGTGGCACGGGTGCCCGTGATCGGGCCATTGCTCCTGAGAGCCTTCTTTGGACGGAACCCTTTCAGGGCCAAGAAAGCAGCAGCTGGGCGTAGGTTGGGGGGGAGGGATGACTTGGAGGATGGGCAAATCTTTGAATACCCAAAGTCCCAAAGCAAAAAAAAACAGTAAATGCATCAATACACACTTACAAACAACATCGACAAAAAAGGCTCAAGTCACTCAAGTCTCGTTTTTGCATGTTTGGATGAGCAAAGCAATATTCAAATGCGGGAGTCTTTGGGAGGGAGTCCCAAGACATTTTATGAGCCATTCCTTAGAGGGCGAACTGCGGAGTGAGTTGAATGTTATTCAAGCATTGAAGATCAAAAGCGAAGAAGACACCTGTCCAAGCCTGTCAGTATTTCGCCAGTCCCTCGTTGAACATGCAGGGAATTTTAGTACTCCTCTTCCTGTGGCTGCTGGGTGAACAACAGCTGGACAATGTGAACATTGCTTTGGGTTGATTGCACCTTAAGCGGGTTGAACAACAAAACCCTTGCGCATTGTGGGGGTGCGCATGCTGCGTGTTCGGCCTCGAGGCTCGGCCAGGTCGTTTTGCCAGTTGGGGTTGGGGTGGTATGCCAGTCCGGAGTGTTTGGGGTATCTTAGAGTCATCAATGTATGGTCCCACCATGATGGATGTAGTTTGTGGCCGTTGAACGTCAAAAAAGGAAAAGTGGGTAGCTGTAGCCTGACTGAGTTCTCAGACGAGACCTACTACGCTTATTTTTTTTCAATGTGTCTCTCTTAATTCGGAATTGGTGGCATAGCGGCCACGGATAAGATACATTCTTTGGCTATCGCAAATGGAACAAATTGCGTTCTGTGTCTCCCCCGGTTGTGAAGAGGGATCCAATTTCTGGGGCCCAGAGGGCGGATCCGTGAGGAGGGCGGCTTTTGTCCCACTGCTTCTTTCCCAGAAGCCCACGTGTTCGCAAGCTCTTTTGCTCAAGTCCTAAGTCCTAAGCCCGCCTGATTGGATTCAGAGGAGGCTGTAGGGAGGTTAGAGTCGCTGAGCTTCATTGGAGCAAAAGGTGCAGGTGGATGGCAAAAGAAGAGAGCCCTTCAGTTTGAGTGAGAAGCAGAGAGCTCGCAAGTGCAAGTGGTTTGAGTGTCAGATAGCCCGACATCTACCCTCCTCCTTTGACCACATGATCACCAAGTCACCCCACCATCCGCCGAGGCCTACGACGCGGACGCTTCTTCCGCTTCGACACGTGAACGTGTGCCCTCCAAGGAAGGTGTGCCAAGTGACGAGGCCCTCCGGAGACCCAAACGCGTGGGCCGTGTGGGGAAGGAATGGGAAGTTCATCCAAACAGGGCAGGCACAAGGGGCCAGTCCGTTGGGCCATGTGTTGCGCTCTTGACGTTAAGAGCATGGCCATGTTTATCTTGGAGGTTAAACGGTTAGAGGGACAGCTGGTTATCGGTCGCGAGGATTTGGAAAGCCATGGACAAATCAATCCCAAACACAAATATGCATGGCATATTTGTATACATTGGGGTGGTTTCAGGGGTCAATGTAGGCATATAAATATATATATATGTGCTACTCCAAAAAATGTCTACCTCTTTATATAGTTAATTATATGTTGATTCCCAATTTAAGTTTGAAAAATTCGATATTAATCTTAATTTGATTCTAGTTCAATGCTTTTTGTTAGTTTCAGCTATCTTAAATCTCATACAATGCAATTTTAGTTGTTTTACATTCTAGTTAAAGTGTTTTTTTTGATTACCAGTTTAATTTCGCTTAATTAGATTTAATTTGAACTCGATTCTAGTTCTAGGTCATTCAGGATGTCAATTACGCGTTGCTTTCTTAAAGGTTGTCTTCTTAAAATCACACCAACAGCAGAGCCCTCTCTCTAGAATAAAGTCATAGTTAAATGAGAATTCAATTTGCAGTGAATTATAATAAACTGGCATTCAACTAGAATCGAATAAAGATTAGATTAGAATCAATCAAAACTAAATTGGAAATAGAAATAGAATTAAACTAGACTTGTAAACAACTCAATTCAATTGTATAAGATTCTAACTAGCTGAAACCAACAATAAATACAAATAAATTGAAATGTAAACAAAACTAGATTTGAATCAACATAAAACTAGATTAGAACTAACTCCGAGAAAAACTAGAAGCATATTAGACTTAAATTATTAGAAGTTTGATTAAACTAAGATTTAATCTAAGTTTCATTGTGTCAAAAAGAATAGGATTAGAATTAAGATAGAATTGAAATAGAATTGCTTAACCTGCAGCTCGATTAGAATTCACTTACTGAATGAGAATTGCAGTTAAAATGACATTTGCAATAGAAGTAGATTTGAATTGAATTCAAATTCAGTTTTAATTGAATTAAAATCAAATAGGAGATTGAAACTAAACTTAAGTGTTAAATCAATTAGATTCAATTTTGATTTCAATCATGTTCAAGTTCAAATTTAAAATTCCAAATTTTAACTAAGTTAGACTTAACAATATATAAATGAATTTGAATTCAATAGAACTAATCTTAACTAAGATGTGTAGTTTTATGCATTCAGTTCAATTTGGGATTAAAGCAATACGCTAAAATTGCATAACACTTAAAACTAAAATAGAATTGAACTAGATCTAAATTTCAAGTCCATTGGAAATAGAAGACAGTTTACGATTCAATGAACAATTTGATTATCTTACAATTACAATCTAAATCAACTTCCAATAAATTTATACAGGTTGTGTAAACGCCCAAAGGACCAAAACACTGACAAATCAAAAAAAATGAGGAGAGTTTTTGGTAGCCTCAAAAAATCTTTTGTTGGTTTTCATTGTGTGTTGTTGTTGTTTTTTGGGTGTTGAAATCCAAAAAACAAAAAAAAAAACATTGCGTTTTTGTTTTAACGTTTATTGTACTAGAACACTGCCAAAAACAACACATGCACGTGGAATTTGTTGAGCATCTGATGTTTGGTTTTACCATTACAGATGTTTGCGTTCAGGAAGTTTATGAATGCTCCTTCCACAGTGATCCTGAGCACAAAATCCAGAAATAACGTTTGCAAACGTTTGCAAACGCTATTTCTGGATTTTGTGCTGAGCACAGTGTGGAAGGAGCATTCATAAACTTCCTGAACGCAAACGTCTGCAATGGTAAAACCAAACATCAAATACTCGAAATGCGTGATATGTGTGTTATGTGTTTCCTTTCAATTGTTATTGTTTTTTGAATTGGGAAGTGCTTGTTTTTTTGTTAGATTTTTTATACACAAAAATATGCATAACACACTGTAAATACCAATCAGAACCAAAAGAGGTAGACATTTTGGGGGGTACCACACACACACATATATATATATATATTTACCAGTCCCATGGAGTGTTTGGGAATAAGACCGCTTTGGGACTGGGCGTTTTTCAGAATGACCGGGCCCCATGGGAAGATCGAGGTGTTGGGGATGTGAGTTCTTTGACCTAAAGATGTTAGTTGGGGATGTGTTATTTGGTTATTGGGTGCAATTGACCAAGTTTGAGAAGTTCTGAGCAAGGACGCGTGATCGAGTTTTCGCGTGTGAAGTATACGTAACACCAGAGAGCAGTCTGGGAGTGCGATTAAAGCGATGGTCGCGGGAAGGGTGCAGGGATTACCCCTCTTCATTCCCAATTGTCAGGGTTGACATATGATGCTGAGATACCGGGACGCACCACACAACAAGACAAGCACATGAAACACCCAAAGGCTTGTAAATTTGTTCAAGTTGTTGTTTCTGCTTTGCAACATGTGTGCATCGCTTTGTTTCTGACTGGGGAAGGCTCTGAAAATACGATTCGGGGGGAACTATCACCACAGATCCATCGCCATGCAGAATCCAAACCTGAACGAGTTCAACAAAGTCATTCCAGTGGGGGCCGCGATGAGGTGTTTGTCCGGGATTTTTGTCGATGCTCCACGTGTTTTTTTCCGCAAAATATTCTACCAGGTTTTCATCAGGATGGTACTCCGGACAGCGTGTGTTGTGCGTTCATACTTTTTAAAGATATTTACAGTACAATATGTTAATGTGTATATGTATATATATATATACATATGTATTAACAGTCTTGAGTCTTGATAGTTTAGATCTTGGTTTTTGTTGTTCACAATCAGTATATTATATAACAATCTTGATAATTGAGAGGCATCAACCAACTTTCCATAAAGTTCCTGTCGAGACTCCTTCACTACGGACGAACAAGAGACGTCCTTGGAGCGTTGGCACCGCGTCAGAGACGTAGAGAGAGGTGTAGAGGTTGGGTTTGTCCCAGTAAAGCTGCAACAGTCGGTCAACAAGAACATCACTCATTTATATACTCATTTAGAGATGTCGGCCTGGTTGCAGGGCCCCCAGTGTTCATCCACGGTTCCTGTTAGGATATAGCCGATGTAGAGTCTCAGAGGTGTTGGAAGGAAACTGCTCCTCCAATGACAGCCTCCTAGGAGAAGCCCGAGGAGAAGGGCCCGAAGGACGTCGGCCTCTCGACTGGACGTGTGACCGGCTCCGGCGCCACCAGTCCGGTCACCCATCAAAAGCATGGCAGGTTTGAGAGTGGATGGAGAGAACGCTTTCCTCCCCGAGCAGGGAGGATCCCAGTGTACAACTTGAAAATATCCAGAAGGGACCAAATTCAGAGTGTTTTATTTTTTTTCAGATTTACGTAAGTTGCTAGCAATTTTTGCTTGGCACAGTTGCAATGGCTATATATATCATTCATTCCTTTGCAACCACTGTTTGTCAAATCTATTTGCTGGTCTTTGTTTTTCACTACCTTGCCACTGTTTGTTTGTTTTGTACATTTTGTATGTTGTTCAGCCATGTTTGATAATTTATAACAATCGCAGTCATTGCAGATGTGTTAAGCTGAAATTGTCAGTGTCAGAAAAAGGTGCACTCTCACAGCGTCCTGCTCTCTATTTGAAAAGCCCATGAAGCACAGAAGCCATACAGAACGCCGGCTAGAAACAACGTCGACGACTCGCTTGGCCATTTTTTTGTTGCTCCCTGGATGGTTCCCAGTTCCAAGAGCACTGGTTCCGAGGGCTGTGGCATGGAAACCATGCAAGTTGGGATTTGAACATCAAGAGAGACCCCTGACTAGTGATCGGAGCTTGGTTTCCTGGCTCAATATAGACAAATGAGGGAGGTGAGGAATGGTGAGGATAAGGAAAAGATGATAGACTATTGATCAAGGAGAGAAGAGGAGAGAAGATGTATGATACATGATAAGGTGAGGATAAGGAAAAGATGTCAGGAATGGTGCATGATCAAGGGCATGAATGGTGAGGATAAGGAAAAGATAAATATTTCCCGACAAAATGTATGCGTACTTGGATCAGGCATGTTCTAGCCTGAGAGACTCTTGATTGTGGACAATGCCACTGGCGCAGACAAGAGCACCCAGCCATACCCAGCCAATAGCGCTTGCAACATCGCGGGCAATAGAATCCACATGTTCCTTTGTTTCATCAAAATTGCTGGTTGCAATACTCAAACCTCGGAACTCTTACTTGTAGCCCGGTAAACACCCCTGGGGCCTAATTACCAGGGTTTGACCACTTCCAGAGTGCCGTCTTCCCCTTCACTATATCACCTCCACATGGTTTTTGGTCGTCGGTCCAAAGGTGAAACAAAGAAAAAACGTTTGTTGTCGCCCACAAGACGCAGCGTAGGGTGTGGCCGGTCCGTGTGGATTTTCAGGTGTGGTGCTGAACACCGAAGGGTTGGATGAGGAGGTCCAACAACAGCTCGAAGAAGAGCCGCTGGTCCGCAGGATCGTTTGCGGCGGTCTTCCGCCCCCTTGTGGGGAAGACCCTGGAAGAGGGGTCGGGAAGCTTTGGATGATGCCAACAAATTGATACTAGTAGGACCCAATGCTACCGAAATGGAGACCATCCCTCAGCATTGACTTGTTGTCCGCCCTTGGGACCAAGTCCTGCTTAGGCCCAAGTCCGCCCTCA